CCCCCCACTAATTTGGACCATTTAACGATGTATGCATGTGTGGAATCCTTGTGCAGGGGCCATGCTAATCTTTTCTGTATCGTAACTATCGTTCCAATTTTTACGGATGTTGATTGACATTGTGACCAGTTATTGGGAACGAACTGAAGTCTTGTTTGACAGGGTGACTCTCTGGGCCGCCACCTCTCTTCCCCCCCCGTTTGAGTAGGACAAGGGCTTGCAGCTGTCCTGCATTGCGAACAAACACGGGTCAATGCTGCCGTTTACATGAAGTACTTCTGTGTGTTTGGTACGTTTGGTTCATCTGATAAATCAGAAGTCCTTACTTGTCCTGTGTGATACCCTAGTAATAGCTGCTAATCACGTGCCGCTCTTCTCACACAGTTTCTGTGGCTTTGTCTCCTCCGTAGATCTGCATCTTCCTGCGTGCCCTCTTTTGCAGTGCCTTAACTGCACAGGGATGGCTTTGTCTCCTCTGCAGATCTGCATCTTCTTGCATGCCCTCTTTTGCAGTGCCTTAACTGCACAGGGATGGCTTTGTCTCCTCCGCAGATCTGCATCTTCTTGCATGCCCTCTTTTGCAGTGCCTTGACTGCACAGGGATGGACGGATTACAGTGTTTGGGTTCGTATATATGTACACGTGCATATGACAGTTTTTTTTTTTTGTTTTTTGTTTTTTTTCCACAAAACAGGGCCTTAGGGTCCTGGCTCCTTCTATTCTGCGGAGCGTCAGTCCGGTTCCTTTTCCACCGCCAAGTCATAGAGTTTTACATCAACAGAACTCACACACGCTTCCTTCCGTCCGGCCGAAGGACCCCTGGACAGCATTGATTGCTCCAGTGTGGTGGAGGATTGACTGTCAGCTTGCCTTAACCTTCTCTCTCCTCTCAGCCCCATTGTACTGGTCTGTCAGATCATCGTAATATCTAGAGAGAGTCCCCCCATAAGTAACCAATTTTGGGATGATCCTTTGTCTTCTTGAGCCTTCTTGTCTGCTGTGGATCATCTTCCCAGTCCTGAATCCCTCTCCTGGGTGACTGCCCTGCCATGGTCCTTAAGTGATCTAGACGGGAAGGATGGTTTGACCATGGTCTCCAGGTATTGACCTCTGCTACCTGACTTCTCTTGGGCTTTGATTGGAATTTGTATCTTGCGTTGTGACTTAGGCTTCTGAAGTCCTTTTTATTGAGAGGCTCTTTCCTGGAGTGAGTTATGCCATTCCTTCCAGCAAAGCCGATCTTCCCGCAATTCTGCAATCTTGCCTTCAACCAACCAGTTTTCACGAAAACTCAGCCTCGTCCTTCTCCGCTGCTCTTCGTCATCTGTCTCCCTTAGTTTCAACTTCCGCCATCTGCACAGAATGTCGGCTTGAATCATTGTTCTGGTTTCTGTCCACACCTTCTCCCTTGGATTTGAGTGACCTTCAATTGTTCTGCTGCATCTCTCCTTCCATATGACCCACAAAGTCACTTTCCTGATGAGTTCAAACCAGATCCTCTCTGACGCTCGTGTTAGAACGGGTTTATTGGTTAACAGGAGGAGTTGGAGAGGGTGGTTGGGGAAGGGAGATGAGGAGTCCCAGAGTGCAGAGGCTCTTTTCCAGTATTCAGTCGCTTCTTTGCATCGAATTAGGCAGTGCACTATATCTTCTACTAATCCTTCTTTACAGACTATACATATCTCTGAGCTGTCCGGATTTGAGGCTTAACGTCTAGTATGTAACCATTGGTTCACTGGTAGTGCTGCGTAGACAATTAGCCACTGAAAGCTTCTGATCTTGACTGGTCTGATACGTTTAAACTTATCCCAGGGAATTTGAGTGATTCTATCTGCTTCCTGTCCTAGCAAGTTTCTCCATCTACTTATGATGATTGGGTCAGGGTCTTTAGTTTTCAAGGTTAGTTTGTAGCCCAGTTTAACTGTATAATCCTGTATAGGGGTTTTTGCCTCGATATTCCTGGACGTGCTGGGTGACCAGGCCCATTCACCCGGGTCGAACTCCAGGAGTCGGATTGCTGTGTCCGGTCTTGTTGTTGTTGGAGCCGCAGATTGGGAAGGAGAAGAAGGTGGCCATGGTGTGAGCGCCTTGTTGTCTGTGGGAAAATTGATAGGCTCTGGAAGGGGTTATGTCTTGGATCATAAGACCCCACACCCCTGGTTTCCACCCTTCATCTTTAAGTAAGATATCCTTCCATTCCTGTGGGATGCAACTGAGGAGATATTGGAGGTTGGTTCCTCTTCTGTGACATCCTTTAAGTTTGATGCTGATTTCTTGTTCAGATATCCATTCTTTTCTGTCTTCGTTCCATATGTGATGAATCTTCCATATGCCATTTTTGATCCAGGAAGAGAGGGTTGTTTGCTTCATTCGTTAGCCATTCATTCCCAAAGAGCGGTTGCCTTAGTATTTCATCCTTAGATCTGGGTCTGTTGGATTTGCCCGGAATTATCTTTCTCCATGACTGAAGGAGTGCCGGCCAATAAGGTGTTGGTGGTCGGAGGACTTCTTGTCTATTGTTTCTTGTTCGATTCCTTCTTCCTGTCGTTAATTTCCATTCTTTGTTCATGACCCAATATAGGCCGGACATGTCGTTCGGAGAGGGTACTGGGGCTATTGATCTGATACTGTCTAAAGCTAATTTGTTCCAAGCGCTTCCCGGATACATCAGTAATTTTATGATCCATTTGATTTGCAGAGCCTTCGTTTCTGTTCCTGGATCTAAGATTCCTAGGCCTCCCTTGCTTGGAGGTCTTGTGACAAAGTGCCAGGCTATTTTGGGTATGCACTTTTCTTTGTTGGGGTCTCCTGTCCAGAGAAACACCCTGGCTTTTCTGTTTAGCTCTTGGACAGAACTGTCAGGTACTGTCCAGAYGGAGGCGATATACCACATCATTGAGAAGATCGATGTATTGAGGATTAAAGCTCGGCCTATAATGGAAGAGAAAGTATTACTCCATCTTCCCATTTTGTTTATCTGGTTGGTCAGTAGCGAGGGGCCCATTTGTGGCGCCAAACCTTCCTTCGTYATTAGGATCCCTAGGTAACGGGTCGGGTTGTCTGGCGTTTGCCATGTCATGGGAGCTTGTTCTCCTTGAAGAGAGAGGGGTTCCTCCTCTGAAAGCCACCAGCCAATCGTTTTCCCCCAGTTGATCTTCATCTCTGAAGCTAGTCTGCATGCTTCCATTGCTTTGACTAGTGATTGGAAGGAAGAATCCGATGCCCTGATTAATACTGTTAGGTCATCAGCAAACATGATTGCAGCCGGAAAGTCCAGTTGGTGAGCTGTACCTACCTTTGTGCTGGCTAGTCTTTGAATTGAAGGGTCCTTACGTAGGAAGGAAGCAATAGCTTCCATTACAAATAAGAATATTGAGGGGGCTAGTGGGTCACCTTGTCGGACTGAACGCGAGATCGGGTAGCAGTCGGAAAGTAGTCCGCTAACTTGTACACAGCCTATAGCATCTCTGTACAGGATCCTGACCCATTTCCTAAAGTTTGGTCCGACTCCCATTYTTTCCATACTTGCTTCCATGAAGTCCCAGTTGACTTGGTCGTAAGCTTTTTCAAAGTCAAAGAAAAGAATGGCGGCGTTTATTTTCCTTTCCCTGATTTTCCTCACTGACTCATTGAGAGTCATCACGTTATCTAGGATGTATCGACCAGAAATGAATCCTGTTTGGTCTATATGGAAGCAATCATTAGTAATCTTGGTGATCCGATTTGCTAAGGTCTTGGCCAATATTTTGTAGGGGAGAGATAAAAGTGAGATGGGTCTATAGTTCTTGATGTCCTCTCTTTCGCCCTTTTTATATAGTAGAGTGACCACACTGCTGCTGAAWAGTTCACCTAAACCACCTTTCGTCCAGCAGTCGTTATAGAAATTAAATAAATCACTCCCCAGTAAGGGCCAGAACTTTTCCCAGAATTCCTTTGTTAATCCGTCTATTCCTGGAGACTTGTTGTTGTTCATGCTCAGTAGCGCGTGAAGTTCCTCCAGCGTAATTGGCGCGTCGAGCGAGTCAGCCTGCTCTGTTGATATTGTTCGTTCCAGGTACGATAACATTTTACTTCTTGCATCACTGATGTTGGAGGGGACGGGGGACTCTGTCTTGGATTGGTAGAGGTTTTTATAGAAGTTGTTGGCTATCTCTAACATTCCTTCGCTGTCCGATCTCACAGTCTCAGGAGGTGAGGGTGATCTCAGACATTCTATTGTGCTGGCTCTCGAGTTTKCCTTGATTMRAGCGAAGAAGTGTTTGGTCATAGAGTCGCTGAGCTCGTATTCACACATTCTTGCTCTTACTTGTAGACCTTTCAACTCCCACCACTTCCACATAGCCAATTCTTCTCGTGCTTTCTTGAATATCTCGTTGTAGAGTGGGGAGGAGGGRTTATTTGTGAGATTTATTTCTGCTATTTTCAATGCRAACTCCAGTGATTGTTTTCTTTRTTYCCTTATGGACGCAAGCTTYCTTGATAYTTTAGCGACTGTGTCTGRAAGATTCGTATAACTCTTTTGGAACCAATCCCATTGTGTGTCATTCCTCACTCGTGATGACYTTTGACCTTTCCAGTAGTCACATACTTCCTTTTGGAATGTTTGGCTCAGCAACAGGGAGTTGTTGAGTTTATGGAAGCTGGACCCCTTTCTTACCA